TTACACACACAGATACTGAAGGGCCTTAATCTCAAGGTTAACTGTGGCCAGACAGTGGCCCTGGTTGGTGGCAGTGGCTGTGGGAAGAGCACAACTGTTCAGCTCATCCAGAGATTTTATGATCCCAAGGAAGGCACGGTGAGACACCTCAAGTGAGATGGCTGTGTCACACTTGTTGGAAGTCTGGCTCTGGCCTCAACTGCCCTTGCTCCAATGACGTGGCACAGTGCCAACGGTCCAAGCTGGGGCAGGGGTTCCTTGGCCAAAACACTTACTAAAGAGTTTTTGTCTGCTTCCTTTTGTCTAGGTTACCATTGATGGGCGGGATATTCGAACCTTAAATGTAAGATATCTGCGGGAGATTATCGGTGTGGTGAATCAGGAGCCCGTGCTCTTTGCTACCACCATTGCAGAAAACATTCGTTATGGCCGTGAGGACGTCACCATGGAAGAGATTGAAAAAGCTACCAAGGAGGCCAATGCTTATGACTTCATCATGAAGCTCCCCAACGTAAGCAAACCAGCTGTCCTGGTGCAATCATTTCTCCTAAACCTTCTTATGCCAAATAGCCTTCCCTAGAGGGGATTCTCAGAAACAGAGGAAGCTCTTCCCTGGAGCTGTGAATAAGCAGACCCACACAGTGCTTCCTCATAACTTTTGAGAATAATGTTAATTCTAAATCTTGATGAGCATTTGGAGAACTCTCAGAATTCCAGGGACACAAATGATTAGGCAGATGTTTTAGAGATGTAATGTTAGGCATGATGTTTTAGAGGAAGGAGATGCAGCTGGGGCTACTGACACCCATGTGCCTTTTCTTTATGCTGCTGTTCTTTGGTAAAAGGATTGTGCCACTGAGTGTTGTGGAAACGTGTGTGGTTATCTTGTAGAAGTTTGAAACCATGGTTGGAGAAAGAGGGGCACAGCTGAGCGGAGGTCAGAAGCAAAGAATAGCAATCGCCCGAGCTCTGGTTCGCAATCCTAAAATTCTTCTGCTTGATGAGGCAAC